TTCCTATATGTCTCAATTTTGATGAGTGAAGGTGAGATTGTTATTATGGTTTCTCTTTTGGATAAATCAGCTTTTAGATATTGACGTAGTATCAGATTTTTGTTGATTTTATACTATAATTTTATTTGGTTCTTTTATGATTCCTAAACAATAATTTGGTGACCTCTAGTGCTTCTACCTCTAGGAACATGTCGTTCACAAAATACTCTTTGATATCGGGCTTTCCTATTTGATACCTTTTTCTTTGTATGTTTAGTGATCAGCACCTTGTTTGGTTTATTTTTTAATTCTTTTATGGGCAAAAATTCATCTTTTATTTTTAATTTTTTATAATACATATTATTTAATTTTGTGCATTTCATATAAAAATTAGGTTTCATGAATACATTTTCAAATAAAATAGTTTTGTTGTTTTTTTTTCTCTCCCAACTTCTTCCCTACCTCCTTCCTTCCTTAACTTTTAGTGTTTGCATATATGTAAGAAAGGGATTGTGAAAGTGAGCATTGATTATTAAACGAGACAGGTGATCACAAGGGGAAAAAGGTGTTATGGGTTGTGCAAAAGGTCACATCAGACCTGAAAGTGGAAAGGAAGCTATCTGAATGCCTTTTATTTCTTTCTTTGTCAACTGACTGGGGCAAAGACTTCAAATTCCATGCTGAATAGACACAGTGAGAGAGGCATTCTTTGTCTTCTTCCTGTCTGTTCCTAACTTGATGATTTTTTTTATCATGAAAGAAATTTAAACTTGTCAAATGTTTTTAATGCATATGAATGAGGTAACTTTATCATTCTATGCTGAACTGTTTTTGAATCACAAGTATAAGTCTTATGTGGCCGTGGTTAGTCGTTCTGTTGTTGAATTCAGGTTGCTAGTATTTTGTTGAGTACTTTGTCTACATTCATGAAGAACATTAGTGTAATTTTATTTTGTGATGGCCTTGTCTTATTTTAGTATCTATGTGATTCTGACCTCATAGGGACCAAAATAGTATATACTCTCTTGATATTTGAAGAAATTTGGTAAGAATTTGAGATGTGCGATTGCTAGCCCTTTTTCAGATTTTTTGTTTTAAATTCATCAGTGAAATTATCAGGTCCCAAGTTTTGGTTTGATGGGTAAAATTTAGTCATTGATCCAATTTCATTCATGATTGATCAGTTCAGATCATCTATTTCTTAATTGATAGGTTTTATTGGACTAGTAATTCATTTACTTCTTCTAGATCATCCAGTCTGTGTTTCTACAATTGTT